TAATAGTATTACTAATACTAATAGTATTAGTGATACTAAGAGTATTACTAATAATATTATTAATAAAATCGATATTAATAATTAATAATTATTACAATTACTATTATTGCATTTTTACATTTGTACATTATTACAATTAATTACAATTATTACAATAGATAATTATGACAATCTGTAATAATAATAATTAATAGTATTAATAATATTAATAATGTTTATAATAATTTCAATGATTATTATGTAAATATAATTATGTTTATAATAATGTTAATAATAATATTAATTAAATGTTAATAATATGTTTATAGATTCATTGTTATTACATTTTTCATCTTCATTTTCAACATGCCTTAAGTTCTGTACTCACATGGACCAGAACCAATCTTAGAGGTGACATTAAAAGTTCATTCACTCTTTGCAGGGTTGTTCTCCCCATTCAATTTGTGCAAGGAAAATCCCCAAATATTGCTTATATCTAGCTTGTATTCAAATCCTTTATGAGTACTTAAGGTAATAAATGCTTATAGAGGGCAGTCTTTATTTAACTTTACATAAAAATACTAAAGGTACAAATAATTCAAAGTAGTTCATAACTCAAATTCAGGAAAGATATAAAACAATTAAAATAGATCATAAACTCTCCTAAGAAGGGCATTGAAATTGAGCTTGCCAGAACGATAACACTCTCATGTTGAAGGAAAATTCACCTGTCTCACATAGCCACCTGAACACCAGCATTGCTATGACTCTCAGACTTCATTTGTGAGGCAACCTGAAAATTTGGAACTAGTCAAGAAGTTTCCCTTCTCTGAATAGGTTATATTTGGGGATTATATGCTCTAGAAAATCAATATAACCCCTTTCTCTACACATCAACTTTATGTTGAGTAATGTTCTCCATGAACATCTTTCTTGGTTTTTTAGAACTATAAAGTTAAAGAGCACTCCTTCTAGAAAAAAAAGAAGGGAAGTTTTTGAGCAATAGACTCCTTGGAGAGAGAAGAAGATTATTTACATACTTCCTCCTCTCTCCTTCCCTCCCTTCACCAGTCTGCCCCTCCCCCTATGGCTATAACAGGAACAGCAGCAAATAAAACATAGGAGCTCAGAGGGCACTAATATCACAAATTTTTAAACTCTGTAAACTTTCATTTATTTAACTGTTGGTACTCTGTAAAACACTTAAAATTTTACATTAAATTATCATGCAATGAAAATCTTGCCTAAATTTTCATTTGATCATGATTATTTTATATAATATATCTATATTATATAATTGTATATAATTCATATAATTATTTTCTGTGAATAATTATGAGATCAAATGATTAAATATTGGTGACATTAACAGCCAATTTAACTTGGATTATTCTGGGTGAAATTCTTAAAAACTCAAACAAAAACTTTGGCTTCAGTTAAACATGTAAATGATTTTGACAATTTTGACTGATGGTCATGGAAGCCAGTGGGGGGAAAAACAGCCAAATAAACACTGACTTCTTTTTCCTGATGATTACTCAAGTAAGGCAAACATGATTTTGCATGTAAAAAGCATTCTTGTTGGTCATTGAAGCAACATTAATTCCTAAGGTACATCCCAAAAGAAGTTCATGGGGATAGACAAAACAAAATATTAAGCACTGAAAGCAAATAGGTACAAAACTACTAATTATCAAGTAGTCAGTAAATAAACATTTCTTAAGTGCATACTATATGCTGAGTATTGTCCTAAGTGCTTTGAAAGGGAAAAGAAAATCTCTGTTCTCAAAGAGTTCACAGTTTAATAGAGGAGACAAGAAGAAAACAACTACGTACAAGCAAACTATATGCATGATAAATTGGAAATAATCAACATAGTGAAGTCATTAGAATTTTGATTGGGACTTGAAGGAAGTTATAGAAATTTAGACTGAGATGAGGAAGGAGAGATTTTCAGACATGGAGGACACCAGCAAAAGTGTCCAAAGTCTGGAGATGGAGGGTCTTGTTCCAAAAACAGCAAGGTTTGCACCTGTTGCTAAATCGCAGAGTACTTGGGTTAGAGGGAATTGGAAGTAATAGAAAGCATAAGAAAACTAAAAAGGAACAAAAAGAGGGCCAAGTAATAAAGAGCTTTGGACAACAGAGGATTTTATATTTAATTCTTTTTTTTTTAAGTGAGGCAATTAGGGTTAAGTGACTTGCCAAGAGTCACACAGCTAGTGAATGTTATGTGTATGAGGTTGAATTTGAACTCAGGTCCTCCTGATTCCAGGGCCAGTGCTCTATCCACTGTATCACCTAGCTGCCCTTATATTTAATTCTAGAGGTGACAGGAAGCCATTGGAGTTTATTGAGGAGAGGGGTGATATGGTCAGATTTGCACTTTAGGAAGATCACTTTGACAGGTGTGTAGAGGATGGACTTGAGTGGGGAGAGACTTTTGGCAGGAAGCCCAACCAGGAGGCTATTGCAATAGTTCAGGTATAAGGTGATGAGGGTCTGTCTCATGGTGGCTGTGACAGAGGAGATAAGGGGGAATTTTGAGAGAATCATGGTACTTTCACCAGTAACACAGAAGTTAGAATGAGAGGACTGTTTAGAAAAAAATCAGTTCAGATTTGGACTTTGAGAGTTTAAGATGTCCATGGGGCATCCAATTTTAGATAGCCAACAGTCAGCTAAAAATGTAAGACTGAAGGTCAGGAAAGAGGTTAGGGTTGGATAAGCAGATTTGAGAATCATTAGCACGAAAGATGATAACTCTGTTATCATCTGAATCCATGAGAACTGATGAGATCATAAGTGAAATAGTATTAAGGGAGAAGAGAAGAGGGACGAGGAAAAAGTCCTGTGGAACATATACATTAGGTGGTGGGATGTGGATGATGACCCAGCAAAGAAAACTGGGAAATTATATGCATCATTAGAAGCACTGTACAGTGTTAAGAGTACCATCCTGGGACTCAAGAGACCTGGGTTCTAGGCTCTTATTGCCACTATCAAATTATATAATACATTTTTGTTGTTTGGTCATTTCAGTCGGGTCTGACTCTTTGTGACCCCATTTGGGGTTCTCTTGGCAAAGATACTGGAGTGGTTTGTCATTTCTTTCTCCAATGTAACTTGATAAGTATCATACCTCTACAGCTGAAATGGATTTCAGAAGCCATATAACACAACCCCCTCATTTTATAGATGAGGAAGTTGAGGCTCAAGAGGGTTAAGGACCTTGCCCATTACAAAGTCACAAAAGAAATAAACATCAGAGAAGGGATTTGATTCATGGTTCTCTGACTCCAGGGTCAGTTATCTTTCCACTGTATCACACAACCTCTCTGGGCCTCATTTTCTTCAGTATAATGTAGCAGTTAAACTAACAAAGATTTATATTTATATTTTCTGAGGGACAGTGGTCCAAATCCGATTTCATCAATTCAGAGGAAATCCCAACATAAAAACTTCATATGGTCTCATCAAAGCATTAGTTGCCTATGGTACTGAGAAATAATATGATTTACCCATAATCAGCAACTATTATGCATCAGACATGAAATTTCAACCCAGGTGACATCCTACTCCAAGTTGAGTACTCTATCCACACTGCCACAGCATTTATAGAATACTTTAAAATTCCAAAGTGCTTTCTTTATAACACCCTTGTGGGTTAAGTAATGAAAATAGCTCAATTTGTGATGGTTGTTGTTGTTTAATAGTGCATTAAGTTTTACAATGCACTTTCTTCCCTTAAACTCACCCCATGAAGTAGATACTACACGCATTCTTATCCTTATTTTTTACACAAGGAAAAGGAGACTCAGAGAAGTTTTTACTTTCTCGAGGCCACAAGGCTGATTCTCAGTCTATTTCCATTATACTACATATAGTATTCTTATTCCCATTTTACATATAACTGAGGCTCATGAGTTTACTTTCCCTATGGTTATAAAATAAGGAAGTAATAGTCAATATTTGAATCCAGGTCTCATGACTCTAATTGTCTTTCCATCATATCATGTTGCCTCTCTAGGTCTAAATGACTTCTATGATGACATTAGCTATCTATGACATATGCACATATTAGTCCACAACTAAATTTTTTTCTGTTCTATAAGTATAGTTCACAAACAGTATCTTTTTCTCTCTTGCTTTTTTTTTGTTTGTTTGTTTTTGGTTTGGTTTGATTTTGGATAAGGTAATCAGGGTTATGTGACTTGCCCACAATCACATAGCTAGTATTCAAATTTTTAAACGCACTGTATTAGCAAAATAATTTCCCTATGAATTTAGTTATCCATTCTTTCAAAACATCTGTAAAGTTTTAAAGAGTGCCTTAGTATTGAGAAAGTTATAAAGGGGTAGTTATCTCAGTTTTTTTTTTTCTTTTCAGAGTAGGCTCCTAACAAACAACTCTGGTCTGAATAACTTTAGGCTTTTCCAAGGCAAGAGACTACAGTCCTAAACCCAGGAAGGCATCTTACAAATGAGGGCAATTAGTCATGAGGGAGAACCGATGAGTAGGGAAAAAACCTGAATAAATATATCACCCCTGGAAGAGAGAACAAATAAGCACCCCCCATAATTGTAGCAAGTCAAGTAGTAATAATGATTCTGATTTATGTTATGCTTTAAGCTGCATTTTTTTTTCTCACAAGGCCCCTGCAACATAGATAGCACAAGTATTTTTCCCCAACTTTGTAAATGAAGTAAATGAGACTCATAAGCTTAAGTTGCCCAAGGACACGTTGCTAGTAAGTGTGGGAGCCTGGACACTCAAAGCCCAGCCTAGTGAACTCAAGCAAATCCTCTTTCTCAATGCACTGTTGTAGATCCTCTGTGTATAAGAGACACATCATTTCTTTCTCCCTTCTCATATACAAATTTTAATCTAAGCATTAAGCATAGACAAACAGTGTCAGAAGTGACAGAAAAAATATTCAATTTCTCTTGAGAATGAACATTAACGCTACCAAACAAAAGAAGGAAAGAAAAGAATTTCTATAAAAGTGAAAACAACTCACCATATTTTTTCAAGGGAGGCTCTTCCTCTTGTCCTAATCCAAGACAGAGAGAGTAAATTAGAAAATATTCAGCATGACAGTACTGTCTCTCTATTTTCTCTTTTCCTTTCATGTACATATTAAATTCCATTGCTAATTTTGACAAGCAAGTTCAGATGAACTGCAGTCTATTTGTTTTTGCACATAACCTCCTTCACCTCTGTCTCCCAAATTCAAAGCTTTTCAATACTGGATAATCTTGGTTTATACATATTCATTTAAGGCGGTTTCACTTCTGTGCGTTTAACAAAATTATGGCAGGAAATCATTTCAGACAGTAACAGGTTCACATCATGCTTTCTTCAGTCTGTCTCTGATCTTCATTTTGACCTTTTCCGGGGGGCCAAATGAATCAAAAGTGAAAATTTAAAAACCATCAAATGAGTTCAAGAAGGGGGCTTTATAATAAACACCTGTTAGCCTGACAAGGCTGTGACACCCATCAAATCACAGTAGGCCACTACCTATGACCTTTATTTCTGAAAGCTAACATGTAAATAGCTACTGAGCTATCATTTTAAAAAGAGGGTTGTGAAAAACTGTTTTTTTTTGTTTTTTCTTCCTTTCTTTATTCTCAAAATACATTGAATGTATTTTTTTAAAATATTTGCAGTTTCCCGTTACCCTGATAGATATAACAGAAAAGCTAGGTTAGTTACATAATTATGTCGCACTGAATAGAATTGCATTCTGCTTTCCCCCGACCCATCCAGTTCAGCTATCTCAGTTGAGATTGTGGCAGCATTACCTCCTACTGTTCTGAGTGGAATAAAAAAAAGGCCGTCTCCAGGTTCCCTAAATGTTATGTGTACATTTCGTTTCATTGTTGCCCTTTTAGTCCTTCTGGTCTCAAAATTAGAGATAAAGCTGTGGACTAACTAAGTCTTATCCTAAGCAGCATCTGGAAATGTGTTTCTCTCATGAGTTTACAGTATCAAATGATCTAGCCCTCTTCTCTGACATTGTAGCTGTAATGGCAAATCGAATGCAAAATGAAAGCTTTATAGAGACCTATTTACTGAGCAGAGTAGCCAGTTGATATGCTGTTAGTACTGGGCTGGAGATACATTTCATTATTTTCTGGCTTGACTTCAGTGCCACATGTGGTTAAAACTGAATATGTCATGGTAATACATGAAGAATTATTAGTTAATAGTTAAACACCTCTCCTGTACCTTCATCGGTGTCGACTCCATCATCATCATCTTCTTCTTCACCATCAGAAGATATGATATCAGACAGCAATGAAAAAAATCCATAGATCCAATCTGTAGTTTCTTCCACAGCATCATGCACAATTTTTAGAGGGTCAGAGCCAATCTTGGAAATGGAGCTTGCTAAAAATCATTTAAGACAAAAGAAAGAGAATTATATAATTTGTTTTGTACATATTTTCTCTACCAAGAAAGCTAAGAAAAATTACTCTTTCTGATTGGTTCCTTTGACACAAGTTTTCTGAACTTGAAAATATCTGTTACCTATACTTGTGTTGATCAGTGAATGCAATTGAAAATCATGTTTTTTGGGGGGTTTTTTTGTTTCTTTTTTTAAGTATAAAAGACTTTCTGAAAAGTAGATTGATACAGTGGAAGGAGCACTTGATTGAGATCAGGAAACCTATGTCCTGGTTTTGATTTTGTTAACTAATTCAATATGCGACTTTGCCATTTGGGCAAGTCTACCCCTCTAGGACTCAGTTTGATCATGGGGATGATCTGTAGGGTCCTTTCCAACTTTAATTGTCCATGGTCTTATGATTTTAGTCCAACCCTCTTATTTTGTAAATGAGACAACTGAGGTCCAGAGAGTTCAAAGGATTTTCCCAAAGTCATATTGATTCAGTGGAAAAATAAAGACTGGACTGCTGGTATTTTAACAATCTTTTCTCGATTCTTTCCACTACAGATTAATATGAATATGCATTCAATCAGCAAGTATTTATTGACTGTGTAGTATGTGCATAATATTGTACTTGCCACTACATTGCACAGTGAATAGAACACCCAACTTCAGATACACCTGAGTTTTGTGACCCTGAGCAAGTTACTTAACCTCTCTGTGCTTCAGCTACCTCATTTGTAAAATGGAAATAAATAATAGCATCCACTTCCTTTCTTTGTTGTGGAGAAAAATGAGACAATACTTGTAAAGTGCTTTGCAAATCTTAAAGTGTTATATAAATGCTAAATATTATCATAAGAGGATATGACACACATATAAAAGTATTTGACATATTCAAGAAGCTTACAATCTATCTAAGGAAACATTCATATGTGAAAAAATGAGAAGACAATAAACCAATCAAATGCCCCAAAATGTGGAATAAGCTGCAAGAGGTATTATAGATCAAAAAGACCAAAACCAAGTCTAACTTAGAATTTTAGAAGGTGGTATCATGAGAAAGGTAAGATTTATTTTGCAAACTAACATTCCCAATATGATTGATGACCTTAGGTCCATACACTTGATACCTCTACAACTCTATTAGGAGAAAGCTGGAAACTTCTGCTGGGCTTCATCTTCACCACGAACAATATTTTGGTTTAGGACCATATTTTGCTGTATCCTCACTAAATAAACTATCTGCTTTTCTGTTCATAGAATTAGTGAAGTCTGTGAAATTCATCATCAACTTACTTGTCAAATAAAAGGTGAGATATTCATGAGATGAAGGAAACCAGTAGTAAATATACATATAAAGTAAATGACATACTAATGTTATCCCATTCTCCTCTACATCCACTTCAGTTATCTGTAAATTGCTTTAAAGGGGTTTACTACAATAGCCCCACAACTGGATGCTAGAGCTCAAATAATATGTTTATTTTTCAATATTGCCATATATTGTTATTTGTAATTACACCATCAAGTTGGGGCTGAGAGGGATTCACCACAAGGAAGAGAGAGGAGTCAAGGCAGGCCTGTGCCTCAAAATGGTAATATGTGAAATTGATTGAAAATCTCCAACTGAGAATGAATGGAAATTGTTTAGTCTCTATTGATTCTCTAATGCATGAGTTTACCTTAACCAAGAGGACATAAATGGGAGTGGAGGGGGAGTTAGAGTAGACCCACATGGGAAGACTGATTCAGAAGAAAGAAGTAAGTTTTACCAGAACAAAAAGAAATTGAGTAAAGAGGTACTTCTACATGAGATAAGAAAGGATCAGATGGAATAGTTTTAGGGACAAGACAGAGAAAAGTTGTTTCTCCATGAAGGATTACATTGGGACAAGTTAGACTTTTCAAGGCTTTAACTAGGAAGTTGATGGTGAAATGACCCATGATGACCAAGCTAAAAGGCTAGAAAAGAGATACTATTGCTTCAGATCAGACTTTCATTGTTCCTACTGAGGGATAGAAGGAAGTTTTTCAAAACCTGTGAAGGGCAACTTTAGTCAGCCAATTTCTTGGTTATGGAATTAAAAGTGAGTTATAATCAAGGCTAATAGAATAATTTTTAAGAGCATGTAGAAAAGAGGGTGTGGGGGAGGCAAAGGGGAGGTATAACAGGAACTTTCTACATAGTTTGCCTGACAAAAGGCACATTATTGTTTGAGAATATGTTATAATTTGGATTTGGGTTGCATCTAAAAATGCTTTAGGACTAGTATATTCTTACTCAGACTGTAAGGGCACACCAAATAGAATGTTTATGCTGAGAATAATTTTCTTCCATTACCTCAATTCCTAAATTTTAAGTGAAGAGCTTAACAGTAAAATTCAATTAAATAGAAATCAGTTTAATTACCTACATTTCTAGCTACAGTATTTATTCTTGGCAGGCGTGAATCTTCCAGGCACTAAAAACAGATTCATAAGACCATGTTCCCCCATATAATCTAAGTGCCAGTTTTAAAGCCAACTTCCACTTACAAATAAGCATAAAAATAAAAAAAATACATAGGCTGAAATAAAATGAGATAAAGATGGGATCTTAGTCAGGAATGGACTATACTTAACAAGGGTAGATAAAATATGTTTACTTGGAGATGAGTGGGTCTGCTTAAGAGAGCTTAAAAATGAAAATAAAGGGAAAAGAAACCTCACCACATTCATCAACTGAGACAAATTCTTGTGAGAATGATATAACATAGGAAGACAAGCATTGATAGAGAAGATGAATAATTATCAAGAGGCAGTATCTAAGAAGAGGAGCAGTAATAAGATTCATGACCTCAGTTGCCCATACACAAGCAAGCTGAGTTTGGGTAATAAACAAGGTGAACTAGAAACCTTAAGATAAGGAAGTATGTTTGACTTCATTTATACTGTTTCCCTTAATTCTTAGATAGTCACTAGAGCAGACTAAAGAAAGAAATGTCTTGGTAGCTTTTAGAAAAAGAAATAATGATCACTAAGAACAGTATCAGTTCATCAAGACATTCTAGACTAATCTCATTTTTTATTTTACAAGATTACTACATTGTAAATGAGAGCAATGTCATGGGCACAGCATACCTGAACTTCAATAAGGTATTTAATAAAGCCTTTTATGATATCCTTATGGAAAAGATGGAGAGATTTTGGCTGGATAATAGTGTGGTTAAGTAGATTCAGAACAGCACAAATGGCAGAAAACAATATGTAGTCAGTAATTGACCAGCATAAACTTTAAAATTTACTCTATTGTAGTCTCCCAGTGACCTGTCCTTGGTCATCATTTTTCTCCATATTTTTATTAATAATTTGGATGAAGGCTATCTAGTTGCAAATGACATATAGCTGAGAAGGATAGTTCACAATTAAACAATACTATCAGGAGTCAACATTACTTTGTTAGACTAAGATAATAGGACAAAGCTACTAAGATAGAATCTAAATTTGGGCAAACAAATATTTTAAAAAAACAACTTAAATAAGTATGAGATAAGGGAGACATGGCTAGACAATAGTTTTTATGGAAAAGATCTGTAATTTTTAGGGAACTACAAACTCAATGTGAGTCAACAGTGTGACATGACATCTGAAACAGTTAATATAATCTTAAGGCTTCATTCAAAGACACTGCATATAGAACTAGGGAGATAAAGGCTCTATACATACTCTCTTGCCATTAGATAATATCTGGGGTACTCTATTCAGTTCTAGGCATCACATTTTAAGGACATTAAAAAGCCATAGTTCATCTGGAAAAGGACTACAAAGATGATGAGGGGACTGGAGGTCATGCCATATGAGGTTCAGTGGAAGACACTGATGAGGAGAAGAAAAGACTTAGAATAATGTGAGCACTGTCTTCAAATACTTGTTATATGGAGGATAAATTAAACTTGTTCTTCTTGGTCTCAGAATCAGGATTAGGAGCCATAGAAAAAAGTTGCAGAGAATCAGATTTTGGCTCAAAAGCTGGAAAGACTGACTAATGCACAGGATGGCTTGCCGAGAGAGAGAGAGAGAGAGAGAGAGAGAGAGAGAGAGAGAGAGAGAGAACCATTCCTAAAGGTTCTTAAGTTAAGGCTAAATGATCATTTGTCCTGACTGATGTGTGGTGGATTCGTATTCATACAATTGTATTTGATACAACTCTAAAATATTTTTTCAGCTTTAAGATTCTATGATTCTTTGGTCTACAAAGCACTATAAACTCAATCCTATGTAGTATTATTAACTTCTGTGATTCTGTTTTTTATGTTTTCCATAGTAATATTAACTTATTCTTAAGGTCACTTTTAGAAATTATTTTACATTGTTATTGAGGGTAGAATGAAAATATTGATATCAGTAGGAATAATACTATCATACAATTGGTAAAAACACTTGTTTGATGTCTTTTTCCTTCTGCAGAGCTTACCATGTTCTCTTCACTTAACTTCCCATTACTCTATACATTAATACAAAGTGATGTAAATGTTCTTCAATCTGCCACTTCATTTTAGGTAGCCTAGAAGTGTATATGTAATAATAAACTTGTGCCATAAAAAATCAAAATGAAATAACAAAAATGAATAAAAATTTAAGATCAAATAATTAAATGAGATAATAATTGTAAAGGGATTAACACAATGCCTGTCATGTAGTAAATGCTATAAAAAGTTATTTATTATTCTTAGGTATAACTAAAAGGAGGTATACTTAAGCCCTGCTAAATTAAAATGAAAAGTCTGTGGGCTTGAAGTAGATTTGAAATTTAAGGAATACTGTCTTTAAAAATGAACTTCTAGGAAAATTGTGGAGGTCTTTAAAAATAGAATATATTCTTATCTCTCTGATAGGGTTTCAAGGATAATCCTTTATGGGGCAAAGAATTTGGACAAGAAATCTCAAAAGATTTTTTCCTATGAATCTATCTCAGAATAATATGGTCAGTATTTTAAGGGAGAGATGGAGTGCTTGA